TAGATGTACCTAAAAATAAATAAATTTGATTAATATTAATAGAGGCACACAATTTGCAAATTGTTTACTAAGTATCTTTACACTTTTGTGTCCATCTCAGAAAATTTGGATAATAGCAGCTATTTAGTTATCACTTAAAATGTGTCACTAGTACATAATTTATAGACCAAATCTAGACTTTATTAAAGTAATAACTGTAGAATTGAAAACCAGAGTAAAAATTAGAACAAGAAGTATTTGATTTTTATTATTTATTTAAGTGAAAAGATCAAAGAGAAGGTAGAAGTTACAAGATAAGTAAAAATTACTTTGTGTCAAATCTTTTAATTAAGTAAGTACTACTTTAAGATCAGAAAACATAACATATCACACTAATATCAATATCATATCATARCATAAATTCTAACTTTATATCAGGTTTTTTTTWAAACTTATATCTAATATTTTAAATTGAAGATCTACATGATAATGATAATTATCAATCACCAAATATGATTGATAATTATTTTTTACTATGGAAACGATCAACATTAAATGTTTACATATTTTCCTTTTACTTTGTTCTTTATAACACAAGTATCAACAAAGCGTTTTTTGAATAAAATAGTAATCACAATGATGAATGATTCATATTTTTTCAAAGGTGGTTAATTCATTTTCAAATACTTATTTCAGTACATGTTAATGGAGATGTTCATAGAGAAACATTGGCATACTCAGTACTGTATAAAATGAAAACAGTGACATAATGGCAATCAGGATACCAAGGTTATCAACACATTATTGTCCCTCAAAATTATATTATGTTAGTGTTTTCTCACTGTCATCTATTACAATAGAGTATGGGAGAATGTTGAATCCTATATTATTTTTTCTTACAATTGTACTCATCTAGTCTATGAAATTTTAACCGAATGTTTAAATAAGTATATTCTATCCATCATACAACTTTCAAAAAATTTCGACTAAAGTTGAACTATTTATAGGCATAAGCAATATTCGATTGTTATTAGTTTTTTAGATTCTGATCGAAGTGATGAATGTATTATTTTTACAATGATGTTTTTTTTTTTTTTTGTGCAGTGTACTGCATAACTTGTCGAAATAATGCTTCAATTTCAAATTTTGGGGGTGGTTTCCGGTGTAAAAGTGAATATCTTTGGTGCATTATAGAGTTCAAAAGTAAACATTTTCCAACAGTTTTCAAAAAAAATCGAGAAAAACAAAAAAAAAATTACAGAAAAACGGGATTTTATACGGAAAACCAGTTTTCGACCAAATCGATTTTTTTATATGGTTGTAATTCAAAAACTAATCAGTGTAAATACTTGACATTTTCACCAAATGTTTATGTTAGTGTTATCTATATACAGTTTAAATCAAATTTTTGACTTTTTTTGAGTTATTTATAGACCACTGAAATTTTCGATTTTCATGAGAATTTTTTTTGAAGTTGTTGTATAAAAATTTTGGATGATCAAAAAAACTTGAAAATTTAATACAAGGTTCTTTATGAGTTCTTTTTATTGTAGTTAAAAAAAATTAAAAATTGTAAGTCACAACTTTTTTTTATAAGCGTTTATAGTTCAAATTTTTACGAAATCTGTCGAAATTTATTTATATCTAAGGTAAAAAAATTCAACACTAAGTTTTCCATAAGTTTTTCTTCAAATAGTTATAGAGAAAATTTGAAGCATCATTATAGGAAAAATGTTTTGAGCGTTTGAGTTTTAAATTTTTACAAAATCGCGTAACGATAACGATTTATCCTAGTATATAGGTATATATCTATGATAATATAAGGTATTATGAATTACGATAACTAAATGCAATGTTTTTGGAAAAATTGCCTTATGCAAAATGCATCTTAATTGAAAAATAAAATATTTGTTTCAAAATAGWATATATGACAATATTTAAAGATAATATATCCTAGACCAGAGGTATTCAAACTGTGCGTCACGGCTCCCAGGGGCGTCGCGGGAGTTGTCGAAAGGAGCCGCGTCATATAATTGAAAACCAATAAATATTTTTACGAAACAACCTAACCACAACAAATTTGAAGACACTGATTTTCTTACAAAACTGTCATATYTTTCCGATATTTTTTCAAAGCTAAATATATTAAATAAATTGTTACAAGGAAATGAAACCCACATTTTTGAGTTTCTTGATAAAATTACGGCTTTCMAAAGAAAATTAGTTTTATGGAAGACTAAAATAGAARACAACACTTTTAATGACTGCTTTCCTATGCTCCATACATTTCTAAAAGAAAATGATATGAACTTGAATGAGATCGTCAAAAACGAGTTCATTGACCACTTATCTAACCTCAAAATTCATTTCGAACACTATTTTCCACAAAATACTCAACAACAAAATTGAATCAAAGATCCCTTCAGTGCTGATCTTCCAATAAATTTGTTATCTATTGAACATGAACAGTGGATCGATGTAACATCAGATTCCACAATGAAGACCACATGTTCGGATCATTGTCGTTAACACAATTTTGGACGCATGTGAAACTACAATACACMGAATTGACCACCAAAGCTTTGAAAAATTTAACACCTTTTGCAAMTTCGTACCTCTGTGAGACCGTGTTTTCTGCGTTAGCTGTAATGAAAACAAAATATCGATCAAAAGTGAACGTTGAGAAGGAGATGAGAATAGCTATTTCCAAACTTGAGCCACGATTTGAACATATTATGAAGCATAAGCAAGCGCATCCATCTCACTAAAAATCTAGTAATAAGTAATATTGATTATTTAATATTATTGTTATTTTATTGAGTTATATTTCCTAAGACTAAACATAAAATAATTTGTTATATTTTTTTTTTACAATAACTACTTATTTATAATTTTTTTATATATGTAATATGGTAAATAAATAATTAGTATAAAATATATATTACATTCATATAAACATTGATTTTTTTGTCATTTTTAATTTGGGAGCCGTCAACATTTTGTGAAGACTCAAAGGAGCCTTGGGATGAAAAAGTTTGAATACCTCTGTCCTAGACTGATAAATCATCTCCGTTCAGAATCGTTTTYCGTATACAAYGATACCTATCATTGCATTCAAATCTAACCTACCCTAGTCAGAGGTCAACCCCACCACCTAATGTACAGCAGAGCGACATCCACTTACCCGCTTTTTATTAAATTAATATCGATAAAAATGTATTTGTTGGGGAGAAAAGCTTGAAAATTTAATACAAGGCTTCTAATATATTGTTACAATAGCAGTTGAAAAATAAAATAAATTCATACTCACAATTTTTTTTATAAGCATTCAAAGTTTGAATTTTGACAAAATACGTAAAAATCACGAAAATTATTTTAAGCTAGAAATTCATAAAAAATTTTCTTTTTAAATCTAGGATTTGAAAATTTAATACAAGATTTCTTTCAAGTTTGTCAATCTTTGTCATAAAAAAATGTCCTCCACCAGAAATTCAAATTAAATTTTTATGAGCGTTTGAAATTTAAATTTTGACAACATTGGATTTTCACTAGATTTCTAATTTAACGATTTTCTTATTTTGGTGTAACTCTAAAAAAAATTACTGCAGATGCTTGAAATTTTCAATGAATGTTTATATAGACATTTTCTATATTTTTTAATAAAATGTTCAAAATATTTTGATTTGTTTTGAGCTGTTAACTGACATTTTAATTTTTCAACTTTTTTAGTTTTTTTTTTCAATTAATATCGATAAAAATTTATTTATTGGGTAGAAAAGCTTGTAAATTTCATTCATGACACCTAACCAGTGTTGAATCCAGACATTTTTCTAGGGTGGGGGGGGGCTCACTTTTTTATCATTGGTGAATGGTGATACGGCATTTTAGTATTATGAATTATATCTATTAATAGGTAGTTATTATTACAATTAATACAATTTATAATTTAGACCAGCGTTTCCCAACCTTTTTCCCTCGCAGCACTCTAATCCCAACCCATATTTAGCCGTGGCACACTTGTCACTGACTTATATAATATGTATACATATTTTTTTTTATACCAGACTTTCATCATATTAAATATTRATACCGAAGTAGTTGTATATCAGTATAATATTACTAACAATCAGTTTAAAATGGTAAGATAGGGAGAAATATTATTATAATTATCCTAAATATTTAATTCATTGAAATGTAAAAACAAAATGCATTACAATCACACTAATCACAGCGACAACAAATGACTAAMTGACTAATATTTTAAATTATTTAATAAGAAATAGTGAACAATATTCCCGATAAGAGTATCGTTAAAACTATTTTAACCAATTACCGAAATTTTACATAAACGTTTATTAATAGTCATTAAATTTAGGGGCACACCAATATGGGCCTCGAGGCACACCAATGTGCCGCGGCACACCGGTTGGGAAAYCCTGATATTTCCCTTAGACATTTCAAATTTATATAAAACTACAAAATAAATTATTTTCTTTTAATTTTTAAATCAATCTAAGGTTGTCACACATTATAAATCGTATTACCTATTATTATTATTTATTGCAATTCAGAAATTATAAATATTTAAAAAGTTATAGAAAAAATTATTAATTTTTAAATTTTTAAATCAATCTAAGGTTAATCTAAGGTGGTTAGGATAAACTTAATTAATAATTTTTTTTTTTCTTAATAATATATTATATTCTTAATATTAATCATATAGTAGAATATATTATATTTTATATTATGGCGTAGGGAAAGTGGCGCTCCCATCGCCCAGTGTACCTCCAGTACACTGCAGTAGCCGTACCCTGACCTTAAGTGGTTGGGGTAGTCTGGTCCTCCAGGTTGGGGATTGAGCGCAGGGCTAACAACCCTGCCTCGTAAAAATGCTTTGTTCAAGATCCTAAGACAAGCCTCGCACTAGATTTAATGGAAAAAGACATGGAAACGGAAACACGGAACTTACTTTTGGAACTTGGAACGTACGAACTCTTTACAAACCCGGTGCTGCACAAAGTATGGTTAAGGAAGTAGAAAAATATGGTCWAGGAGTAGTAGCTCTGCAGGAAATAAGATGGAAGGAAGCAGGAAGTATAGACATGGGCAATATGACAATCCTTTTTGGGGGGTGTGATGAAAGAGGACAATATGGAGTTGGTTTTGCGGTACGTAAGAATATAGTACCAACGATAAAAGATTTTAGAATAATTAACCCAAGACTGGCGTTGCTAAAAATAGAGACTAAATGTTTCGATATCGTATTCATTAACGTACATGCACCCACGGAGGACAAATCACAACAAGAAAAAGAAGATTTTTATACTGAGATAGAACAACTACTAGAAGGGATTAGTAATAGCAAAATAAAAATTGTACTAGGAGACATGAACGCCAAAATAGGGAAAGAGAGATCATATAGACCAACTATTGGTACCCACAGTTTACACGACATGACTAATGACAATGGCGCAAAACTTGTGGATATGGCCATAGGGAAAGGTCTTAAAGTCAAGAGTACAATGTTCCCGCATAAGAACATACATAAAGGGACGTGGGTGTCACCTGATGGTGGGCACGTAAACCAAATAGATCATATATTAATAAATGAGAGATTTGCCAATAACATAACGGATGTAAGAACATACAGAGGAGCTGACTGCGACTCAGACCATTTCCTAGTGGCTAGTAACCTTAGGGTTAAGCTGAAAACAATGAGTAGGAATATGAGATCGGAAATTGTCAGGTATGATGTAGAGAAACTCAGGGATAGTAGGAAAGCTAGAGAATTTCAAGAGAACATACAGAAAATGGCGCGAGAATTAAACTCAAACCTCGAAACAGTAGATGAGCAATGGAAAATAATTAAACATACCCTTGGAAATGTGTCGGAGAAAGTTTTAGGGAAAGCCCATAGAACGAAGAAACCCTGGTTTAATGCTATATGCCAAGAAGCCCTGGAAAGAAGGAAAATAGCAAGAGAAAGATGGCTAAATGATATTAACAATCAGGAGGAAGAAAGAATCTTTAGAGTTAAAAGGAAAGAAGTGCATAACATTTTGAGGTGTGAAAAGAGAAAGTATGTTCAAAATTTAATGAGGGAGGCAGAACAAGATTATAGGTCACACAATACACGGCAGCTATATCACAAGGTAAATAGTTTTAAAGGCGGATATAGAAGACAAGAAAAATTTCTGAAAAAGGACGATGGAAGCCTAGTGACGAATCAGGAAAAAATAATGGAGAAATGGGCAGAGTACTTTGAAAAGCTACTCAATTGTGAAGCACCAGTTGATAAATTTACATATGGACACAACGAACCCAATGATGTTCCCTGCCCAAACCCATCAAAGGAAGAAATCGAACAACAGATCAAAAGGCTCAAAAATCACAAATCACCCGGGGAAGATGACCTTCAAGGTTAGGTTAGCTTTAGAATTTCCTAAAGCATGCGGACAGCTCTATGATAGAAAGTATATACTTGTTGATAAAAGAAGTGTGGGAGACGGAAATTTTACCGTAAGACTAAGGAGTAGCATACATATGCCCAATACACAAAAAAGGCGACAAGCAAGTCTGTAGTAACTATAGAGGAATAGCGTTGCTAGATACAACATATAAGGTATTATCATATTGCATCCTGGATAGAATCAAACCTTTGGCCGAACAAGTGGTGGRGGACTATCAATGTGGATTCAGGCAAAATAGGTCAACGACAGATCAGATATTTATAATCAGGCAGTTATTCCAGAAAAGCTGGGAATATAATAAGGAACTCCATGTTATCTTCGTTGATTTTCAAAAGGCGTATGACAGTATAGATAGAACTAGCATAATCGAAATTCTGAAACATTTTCATTTCCCAAGGAAAATAGTACAATTAGTGGAAGCTAGTATAAGACAAACTAAAGTCAAAGTCTAAGTAGGAAACGCGACATTGAGGATGGTGGAGGTAAGAACCGGACTTAGACAGGGGGATGCCTTGTCGCCAGTACTCTTTAATTTAGTATTAGAGAAGTTGGTCCGAGAAATAAATATTGGAAGAGATGAAGGAGTAAGAATGGATAGAACTTGCTTCAGTCTGCTCGCCTATGYAGACGATATAGTCTTGCTAGGAGAAGACGAACAAAAAGTGGTAGGTTTATGCGGCAGGTTAATAGAATCGGCAAAGAAGGTAGGGCTACATCTCAACATAGAGAAAACGCAGTACATGAAAGTTAGTAGGGGACTAGATAACCTTCAGAAAACCGAAACCATAACAGTTGGCCAGTACGAGTTCAAGAGTAGAAGATTTTAAATACCTGGGCACGATTGTAACGCAGAAGAATGAATGTCAAATTGAAATTCAACAAAGAATAAAAATGGGAAATAAATGCTTCTATGCACTAGGCAAACTACTAAGCTCGAAAGTCCTGTCAAAAGAGGTTAAAACTCAGCTGTATTTGACAATCATACGACCAATAGTCATGTATGGTTCAYAATGTTGGACGTTACGAAAKACTGAGGAGGAAAGATTAGCAGTTTWTGAGMGGAAGGTACTTCGTAAAATATATGGACCTATATATGATCAAGAGCTTCAAGGATGGAGAAAAAGACATAATCAAGAACTGACGGAGCTATTCAATAGACCAAATATTATAAACGAGATCAAACGGAGTAAGTTGGAATGGGCAGGACACGCAGTTAGGAAGCAAGATTCAATGGTTCAAAGGGTACTCCAAGAAAACCCAAAGAGAAAAAGACCACTGGGTAGACCAAGGCTACGCTGGGAAGATGGAATTAAAAAAGATTTCCTAAGTGCTGGCGGAGCGGAATATGATCACATGGACTGGAAGGAAGTAGCGCAGAATAGAGAAGAATGGGAAAGGGTTTGTTCTATGACAAGATGGTCTCAAAGGCCTTAAAATAAACAAAATAAAAAAAAAGATATATAAGGATATAAAAATATGAATTAAAAATTAAAAGTTCTGATTTTTTACCCCTTATATGTCATACTGACAAACTGATATAATAAATTCATTAAAAGTAAGTAATACCTACCTGTATAAATAAGTCTGTGTACCTACTAAAAGAGTACTAAATTAATAAATAAAAATAAAAGTATTTCATGTAAAAGCTGGATCTTGTTCTAACTTAAAATGATAAAATTTGAATTAAAAGAAAAAATAGATACTTACCTTAGGATACTTATTAAAATATAAGAAAAATAATAGGTACTAAAAAAATTTATTTAAATGAAGGCCGTAGGAAATCAACTCAAATCTCAAATTTAGTTTATCATTTTCAATCGTTTTGAAATTTATCAGGACCATTTTATAGCAGTTGATTGGTTTCTAAAAATGGGAATACTTATATGATCTTTAAATCCAAATAGTTTATAAAAAATATTTAAATATAGCGTTTTGTGCTAATTAAATAAAAGCATTTATGATAACTCTAGACTTTTATTTTGATTACCCGATAATTTCAAACAATAGCATCTAGATCAACAGCATAAGTCTACTACTAAGTACTAAGTGATAGTAAACAGAACTTATAATAAATATATATTAATAAAGATTATAAATCATAAATATTGAGATAAATATGGAATACATAATACCTATAGACTAAACTTAAACTAGTTTATATGGTAGTATGRTACTAACAGTGAAAAAATCACCAGAGATTATCAAACCACTGTAATACAGAATCCTTAGGCTTTATAGAAATATACAAATCAATTACAATATTAATATTATTGTATAGTACCTACCTACCTATATATACAAATAATGGAAAAACCTAGGTATTTATTGGAAATTTCTGAATATGTTTACAAAGACAATACATTTTGTTAAATCTCAACCATTAAGTACAAAACCGAGAAAAAGACAGAATGTATTTAATGAATTTTGRTTTAACAGCACCAACCAAAACTTAATTCAAATTAAAAGGAATACATTTCTTGCAAAAAGAAGCTGTATAAACACTATTTCTTTTATTAAACTAGATTTAAAGCTGGCATATGGATTCAATAATAATATTTTCTAAAAAACCAAATATGATGCAATTACCTACTAGAAATCAAAAACAATTACAATAATTCTACACATTACCTGTAAAATTTATAAATTACTTAATATACCAACCCATTTCTTTAGTTGATATTCACTCAAGAAAAACAAGGAAAATCAGATTCATCAATGTGGATCATTTTATCTTAGGCAGTCAAGTCCAAACTTAAGCAAAATAAAAAAAWTAATATTTTATAGACATGATATTAAAATGGAAATAGTAGCTATTTAAGTCATTTAACCTAATATCATTCGCCACAGTTATTAGTTAAATTGTAATCTATCAGTATGTTTATATGATTATATTATATGAGTGATACAATGGTATTTTTTGATTTTTGTTTTTACTAGTAAATAAAACATCACAAAACTTACACATTTACACAAACACAATACACTACATTATATGATTATTATAAATAATATGATTTTACTCATGCTTTTAACTATGAATAAATGTACCTATCAATATTGGATGATGAGAATGGAACACAAATGTTCTTAAACAGATATCTACATAATATGATGGGAAAATTTACAAACGCATTACAAATTTTTTTTTATTATGAATTAATTGGATATTATTATTGTTCATCTGATATTGAAAAAAGTCAAAGATAAGCATTGTTATTGACGTCAACAGTGTACATACAAAAAGTAAAAACAATTATAAAAGGTTTTTTATCGTTAATAATTAATATTGTTGCCGAGTGGAAGGACTGTGGCAGGWGCCAAGTGGTTCAACATTTGTTCAGATCATGATGACGCGCGTCATCAGCAGCTCACCTCACGTTTGTTCACGTCACAACGTGGACAAACAAAAAATATTAACGYAGAACGTAGGTAGCAAGGAAATTCGGAAAATAATTAAGCAAACATACCAGATTGCAATAACGAGATAAAACCGTAACAAAACACAATGGCCAGGTAACACGTCGACGACGGCCTTTCCATATTGACCTCGTTCTGTTATTATTTTTTCACTCTTCGGTAAACACATTTATTCCGTAGTGACGAACTGACGACTGAAGACACACACACACCAACACTACTCGTTATAGCTGTATACTGATGTTACTACTTACTACTACAAGTACTAATACTATATACCACTACTATTACTGCTAATACTTTTACTCCTACTATTACTATTAAATACTATTAAACCCGTCGCCTACCACCAGACGACGACGGGGAAGATACGGCGGCGGGCAGTGGGCAGTGCACCACAACACGCCACCGTCACCGCGTGTCATATACGGATGGTCGGGGGTGGGGGAAACAGGACCCATCGACGGGGAAGGGTGAAAACAATAATAGTGATATTATAACATAATACCTATATCAAAACATTCAAAACGATATTTTGCCTAATATCAGCTATAGATAGGGCAAACACCAAACGACTTACCTGGGACGGTGTTTGATATATGCCGGTCCAGAACAAATTTTCATTATTTTCTTCCCCCACGTCTATAAGCGACCGAATCTGTCCATCTATGGTCGTCGTAGATAACCACTTTTCACACAGCCATATTGTGCGACATTTCGTCGTTTTTAGCTACCAACCATGCAGTGCCACTCGCAAAAACCGTCACACGGTTTTGTCCTTGTGACGACAGACGACGGAGAATTAGCTCTYCTCCTGTAGATTCCCTCGAGGGATCCCAGCAGTCTTTTATCTTAGGACGAGACCGACACAGCTAACAAATCACGATGGTAGAGTGTAATAGCCCGAGCGAATGTCTCACAGACACACTGCGTCGACCGACCGCCAGATAACTGACATGGCGGGATTGCGACACAAAAAAAGATGCAATTCCTGTTGCGGTCATCAATGAAGTTCCACTTACGAGTCGTGGTGGTGGTGGTTTTGTCGGCCGGACGGGACCGTACAACGTACGCACTTATCCGGGTCGAAAAAGAAACTACACTAGTTAGTAGTTGTCGCTYCGCTCACCGCTGACTGGCAGTGACTGCTAGACTGCTAGAGTGCTACGCAAAATCGCGGACGCGTCTGCAGCTGTGGTAACAAAAGAACGTAGTACAACAGTGCCTGTACTATACGATAATTTTGAATTTCCCATTGTGTACTTATTAATGTTATCATGAATGTTATTACCTATTTTACTTTATCTGAGATATAATCACAATATAATATTATAGTTATTAATTATTAATTTATTATACTAATAGTAGTATATTATGTTTCAATGTTTGTAAATGTTATGTATTTATGTCTAATCTACGGTTAGACATAGAATTAAATATAGAAATTAGAAGATATCTTCTAAGACCGACAGACTGTGGTCCAAGCTAGTGCTTCTCAACCATTTTTGTTATAGGGCCCCTTAGATTTAATGTAAAAC